GGCATCCGAAAGACCAGGACAACGCCACTTCACCCACAGTCCGATGGGATGGTAGAAAAGTACAACTGGACACTGGGACAGGAATTGGCAAAGTTTTGTAATAGTCGCCAGGATGACTGGGATGTCTTACTACCTCCAATGCTGATGGCTTATAGGACAGCAGAGCATGAAGCCACTGGATACACTCCAGCAAAGTTGATGTTTGGTCGGGAACTTCGGTTGCCAGTGGATCTGTTAACAGGATGCCCACCTTATGAAGAGTTGCCTGAAAATGTGTCAGAGTTCGTGAAAGTGTTAACAGAAATGATAAAAGTTATTTTATGATAAGAGATCTACTGAAGTTAGCTTTGTACCAGGAGACAAGGTGTAGTTGTATAATCCCAGGAAGACCAAAGGAAAGTCTCCTAAGTTGTCTTCTCCATGGGAAGGCTCATATGACATAGTGGATCGTCTCTCAGACGTGACTTTCCAGATAAAATGTGGTCAACGAGGTAAGCCAAAGGTGGTGCATGCCAACAGGCTTTGGCGTTATCACGGTCCAGGACATTTCAGTTGGGATGAAGTGAACAATGGAACAAATGACGCTGCTGAAGACGTGTCACCTGAAAAAGCCACTGTCGAAGAAGAAACTCTATTCGGTTTTGAGAAGGGAAACAGTGAAGCCCTTGATGAAGTTACTATTACTGATGTGACTATTACCAATGATAGGACGTTTCCTGATGAAGCAGATGAACCCCATATGAAGCAGAAGCCAACGAGACAGAGACCAGTACGGAAGAAGATACGTCCCGTAAAATTAAGAGACTTTGTTGAATTTTAATTTTGTGTTTGTAAATTCTGTACATTTAATTAAGTTATTGTTAATTGTTTATTAGTTTAATGTAAGTGGCTATTGTTCGGGACGAAAAATACTAAGTAAGGGGCAGTGTTACGACAGTGGAAGTCACGTGACGAGTATTCTAGAAGATTCGCTAGTGTGTTACGACAGCAGTGTCACGTGACGAATATTCTAGAAGATTCGCTAGTGTGATGCGACAGCGGGAGTCAATTGACGCTGGTAGCACGTGTTGAGAGTCTTAGAAGTTTCTAGAACAGGCAGTATTATCGTATATAAGTGCGCTAGACAGTGAGAGAGAGAGACGGAGGCAGAGACGAAGCAGGCAGAGAGAAAGAAAGACAGCGATTACGGTCGGCGGGAACTGAGGATAGCAGACACAGTGTTCGGAACTATAGTTTGCGGGGACGGACAATTAAGTCTAAGCGCGATAGAAAGTGAGTGACTTGTTGTGAACTATAGTGTGTGTAACTGTGAAAATTAAGTACATTACAAAGTTGTATTGAGGAAGAATAAACAAGTTTATTAAGAAAGAACTTGTATCTTAGAAGAATTAACAAACAAACACACAGAGACGTAACATGTATATAATCTGTTCCTATTACTGTCATACCTACCCTTAAAAATCTGGTTATATGTATATAATCTGTTCCTATTACTGTCATACCTACCCTTAAAAATCTGGTTATATGTATATCATCTGTTCCTATTACTGTCATACCTACCCTTAAAAATCTGGTTATATGTATATCATCTGTTCCTATTACTGTCATACCTACCCTTAAAAATCTGGTTATATGTATATAATCTGTTCCTATTACTGTCATACCTACCCTTACAATTTTTGTTGTATATCAATAACAGTTCCTCTTTTGCATAATTTTAACCTCTAGAGATTTTTATTTTTAACACACTGGTGTTTTTTAATAACTTTAAAATCTGTAATTTTTCTGCGTATAGCTCCGGGTACAAGATGTTAACGATAAACCAGTTTCCATGACAATTACTTACTTATATAAATACAACAGTTTAAACGTTCCTTTAAACGATTGTACATCGGTAAGAGTAATGGAGGATGAGACAAAATCGATCCATTCTTGTTCCATAATGCTGAACATGGCGTTGTGAAGGAAATAGTAGTGTTGTGTATTGTTTAATGGTGCTATGAAGTAAGTAATAGTGTGGTGTAGTGTTTAATGGTGCTATGAAGTACGTAATAGTATGGTGTAGTGTTTAATGGTGCTATGAAGTACGTAATAGTGTGAGGTAGTGTTTAATGGCGCTATGAAGTACGTAATAGTGTGGTGTAGTGTTTAATGGTGCTATGAAATAAGTAATAGTGTGGTGTAGTGTTTAATGGTGCTATGAAGTAAATAATAGTGTGGTGTAGTGTTTAATGGTGCTATGAAGTAAGTAATAGTGTGGTGTAGTGTTTAATGGTGCTATGAAATAAGTAATAGTGTGGTGTAGTGTTTAATGGTGCTATGAAATAAGTAATAGTGTGGTGTAGTGTTTAATGGTGCTATGAAGTAAGTAATAGTGTGGTGTAGTGTTTAATGGTGCTATGAAGTAAGTAATAGTGTGGTGTAGTGTTTAATGGTGCTATGAAGTAAGTAATAGTGTGGTCTAGTGTTTAATGGTGCTATGAAGTACGTAATAGTATGGTGTAGTGTTTAATGGTGCTATGAAGTAAGTAATAGTGTGGTCTAGTGTTTAATGGTGCTATGAAGTACGTAATAGTATGGTCTAGTGTTTAATGGTGCTATGAAATAAGTAATAGTGTGGTGTAGTGTTTAATGGTGCTATGAAGTAAGTAATAGTGTGGTGTTGTGTTTAATAGTGCTATGAAGTAAATAATAGTGTGGTGTAGTGGTTAATGGTGCTATGAAGTAAGTAATAGTGTGGTGTAGTGTTTAATGGTGCTATGAAGTACGTAATAGTATGGTGTAGTGTTAATGGTGCTATGAAGTAAGTAATAGTGTGGTGTAGT